CCGTTCCATCCCATTCCCAGCACTGTCCATCCCGTTCCCTGCGGTTCCCATCCCGTTCCCTGCGGTTCCCATCCCGTTCCCTGCGGTTCCCATCCCGTTCCCTGCCGTTCCCATCCCGTTCCCTGCCGTTCCCATCCCGTTCCCTGCCGTTCCCATCCCGTTCCCTGCCGTTGCCATCCCGTCCTGTCCCGTTCCAGGCGCGCTTTGACGCGGGTGAGCTGATCACGCAGCGGGAGTTGGTGTCCAGGCAGGTCAGCGAGGACCTGACCGAGCGAGCGGCCACCTTCGGGCTCATCCTGGACGACGTGTCCCTGGTGAGTGTCCCTGTCCCTGGGGAGTGTCCCTGGTGAGTGTCCCTGTCCCTGGTGAGTGTCCCTGTCCCTGGGGAGTGTCCCTGGGGAGTGTCCCTGTCCCTGGTGAGTGTCCCTGTCCCTGGGGAGTGTCCCTGTCCCTGGGGAGTGTCCCTGGTCCCATTGAGTGTCGCTGTTCCCCCTGGAGAGGGAGGAATCAGTGCCCAGAGCATGGCGGGCTGGACTTGGGGACATTAGGACACGTGTGGACATCTGGGAAGGACGCCGTGGTCACAGCTCTGTCCCTGTGACCTTGGGCAGCCCTTGGTGGCCCCTGGGTGGCCCCAGCCCTGGCCGTGCAGGGATTTGGTGGCTCCAGCAGGAGCAGGTGGAGCTGAGGGTGATGGATTGGGCTGCAGGTGCTTTGGGATTTGGCAGCAGCTCCACAGGCACCCAGGGGAAGCACCAGGAGTGAAAATTCCCACTTGGACAGCACAAAATTCCCACTGGTTCCTCTGCTGAGACAGCCAAGGAAGGAGCTCTGCTCTCTCACCTCCCTTCTGGAAATGAAATTTATCTTTTCGTGAATTCACTGCTGTCATCAGGCTCCTGCAGGATTCCCTCGTTCCCCGGGGCTTTCCTGGGGATCCTGCAGGAAGTTTCTGCAGGCCATGGCTTTGTTTCTGCCAGAGAGGGAATTTGGACTCTTTGTTTCTGGAGTTTCCCCCGGGAGGTGGCAGGGTGTGGGATCCCGGTGGGGATTCCTTTCAGGGATCCCAATTCCTGTCCCCATCCCAGTGTCCCAGAGCTGCTGGCTCCTGTCCCTGCTGTGACCTGCTGTGGTTTGTGTCCCCCAGACCCACCTGACCTTCGGCAAGGAGTTCACAGAGGCCGTGGAGATGAAGCAGGTGGCACAGCAGGAGGCAGAGCGGGCCAGGTTCATCGTGGAGAAGGTACCTGCTCCTCCTGGAAAATTTGGGAATTCCTTCTGCTCTCCCCTTCCTTTTGAGTTTGGTTTTACTCTTTTTGAGTTTGGTTTTACTTTTTTTACAATTGCTGCTTTTACGAACGAGTGAGGCTTAGCTAATAGAATATTCAACGATAACTTTTTCTTTTAATTGGAGTTTGGTTACCCTTTTTTTGTAACTGTTTCCA